CGCCTGGGTAGTGTAGATGGTTAAGCATACTACTCTTGGTTTCAGCTCTATGTCAGGCAGTGTCTGCCTAGGACTCTCTTTCCTTCTCCATCTGCCTCTTTCAACCATGTTCTCTCTCTCTCTCTAAAATAAATCAATAAGTCTTTAAAATAAAAAGGTATGAGTTCAAAAATCTATAAGAAGAATTGTATGCCACAACTAACATAGTTTACATAGGTATGCAAAGCTAGTTCAACATTCAAAAATCAATTAATATAACTTATCAAATCAATAGATTGAAGAAGAAAAATCACACGATCGTATCAATAGAAGCAGAAAAGGCATGTGACAAAATCCAATAATTATTCATGATAAAAACTAGGAATAGAAGGGAATTTCCTCAATTTGATCAAGAATATCTAGAAAAAAACTACAGGTAACATTTTACTTAGGGGTAAAAAAATTGAAGTTTTTCCCACAGATCAGAAACAAGGCAAAGATGTCCCTCCCACCACTGTATTTCCTTACCATACTAGAAGTCTCAGCTAATGCAATATGACAAAAGGTAAAAAGCCCACAGATTGGCAAATAAACCATCTTTGTTTGTAGATGATATGATTATCTATGTAAAAACCCCAATAAATCAACAACAACAAAAAAGCCCTCTTAGAATTAATAAGTGACTATAGTAAAGTGGCAGGATACAAACTTAATACACAAAATCACCTTCCTATATACCGGCAACAAACAAATGGAATTTAAAATTAAAAACACACAACCATTTGCATTAGCACTTCCAAAATATGAAGTAGTTAGGTATAAATCTAACAAAATACATACAAGATCTATATGTGGAAAATTATAAAACTGAGGAGCAAAATAAAAGAACTAAATAAATGTAGAACTAAATAAATTTCCATAGATGGAAGTCTCAATATTTTCAACATGTCAGTTCTTCTCAACTTTATTAGTAGTTTCAACAGAATCCCAATAAAAATCTCAACAAGTGGGGTGGGGTGGCTCAGTGAGTTAAGTGTCTGCCTTTGGCTCAGGTTATGACCTCAGCCTTCTGGAACTGAGCCCCACACCAGGCTCCCTGCTCAGTGGGAAGTCTGCTTTCCTTCTCCCTCTGCCCCTCTCCCCTGCTCATGCTTGCTCTCTCTCTCTCTCTCTCTCTTTCTGTCAAATAGATAAATAAAATCTTCTTTTAAAAAAAATCTCAGCAAGTTATTTTGTGGATATTGACAAATTGATTCTAAACTTTATATGGAGAGGCAAAAAATCCAAAATATCTAATACAATCTTGAAGGAGAAGAACCACATTGGAAGACTGACACTATCCTACTTCAATATTCACTATAAAGCTACAGTAATCAATATTGTGTGTTGCTGATGAAAGAATAGATAAAAAGATCAATAGGATCAAAGAGAACAGATAGCCCCAGAAAAAGCCCCCAAAATATACAGTCAATCAATCTTAGACAGAGGAGGAAAAGCAATACAATAGAACAAAGACAGTCTTTTAAACAAGTGTTGCTGTTACAACTGACCAGCCTAGATAACCTTGAGTATGACAATGAATTTTCACATACACCACCATAAACCACAAAAGAAGTAACTGATGAGATGGACTTCATTAAAGCTATAAACTTTTGCTCTATGCAACACAATGTCAAAAGAATGAGAAGACAAGCCACAGGGGAAAATATCTGCAAAAAGACACATCTGATTAAAGACAAACCAAAACTGTTACCCAAGATATACACAGAAATCTTAAAATGTAACAATAAGAAAATAAGCAACCTGGTCAAAGAATGGGTCAAAGAACTTAAGAAAAACCTTACCATAAAGATGTATCAATGGCTAACAAGCATATGAAAAGATGCTCTACATCATTTATCATCAGGGAAATGAAAATTAAAATAAAAATGAGATATTATTATACATGTACACACATTACACATTATATCTAATAAATATACATTTAATAGAATGGCAAAAATCCAAAATACTGACAACACCAAATGTGGACAAAGATGTGGAGCAACAGGAGCTCTCATCCATTGCTGATAAGAATGCAAAATGTCACAGCCACTTTGGAAGACAATAAGGTGACTTCTTACAAAAATAAACATAATCTTACTATGCAGTCCAGTAATCATGCTTCTTGGTATCTATCAAAAGGAGCTAAAAACTTATGTCCACACATAAATCTTCACACAGATGTTCATAAGCAGCTTTATTAATAACTTCTAAAACTTGGAAGCAACTAAGATGTCCTTCGTAGGGGAATGAATGAATAAACCATGATACATACAGACAATGGAATATTATTCAGTGCTAAAATGTAAAGAGCTATCTAGCCATGAAAAGACATGGAAGAAACTTAAATGGATATTTCTAAGTAAAAGAAACCAATCTGAAAAAGCTACATACTATACAAACCTAACTATTTGACTTCTAGAAAAGGCAAAACTATAGAGACAGTAAAAATATTAGTGATTGTCAGGGATGTTGTGTGTTGGAGCAGAGAAGAATAGAAGGAATACAAAGGATTCTTAGGGAAGTAAAAATGCTTTGTATGATACTATAATGATGGATACATATCATTCTAGGTTTGTTCAAACTCACAGAACTTATTAACACCAAGAATGAACTATAAACTATAAACTTTGGGTAATTATGATATGTAAATGTAGGGTTCATTGTTGTAACAAATACCACTCTGGTAGGGGACACTGATAATAAAAAAGGCTATACATATGTGGAGGCAAGGGCTATATGGGAAATTTTGAATTTTCTTCTCAATTTTGCTATGAACTAAAAATCTACTGATTTAAATATTATTCTTATCAAAAAAATACTTTCACACAAAATCAGTGCCTCTTTTTCTTTTATTCTTCTTTCTTAAATATCCCACTTACAATAGTATTTTGTGGATATATTTAAATGTTTCTTTTGTTACCCTACCTTTGATTTTTACCTTTATATGTTTCCAAGGTTTAAATTTGGAATATCTTGAGCAAAAAACAATTCTTAAGCCATAAACACATATATACACCCTCAAAAAAACAAATTCTATCCCTTAGTCTCAACAAACATAGATAGATAAAATAGATTTCCCTCCTTTTCTTCTCAGTTTGTCATTTTTTTCCTTAAAGTAAGGGTATTATTTTAAAAGACAAAATAATTTAGCTCCTTGAACCAGAGATTATGATCAGGTAGAAACTTCATGAGCAAAGAAAACTCCAATAATACTCTAGTGAAGATTGAAAAATAAATTATAATAATTCAATCCTCTTGTAAGCATCTATCAAAAACATCTTTTAAGATGATATTGATAGTAAAATCAGAATACAAGCTGCCATGATACTCTATTTCAATTTCTCCAGATTCTCTGGAAAGTTCATCTTGTTTCAGACTCACACATTTTTAACTTTTAATACTTGCCCTTAAATATTAGCACTAATATAAGTAACACAGAGAAAAATGAATAACCAGCAATATAAGACACTGCATGATATGTGAAATTTATGGCTTTGGAAGAAGTCTTTTAAAGCAAGAAGATAGATCTTTAGAACTGAATTGAAAGAGAAAATGTCTCAGAGAAGATGGGATTAAGTGGAGGCAAAATTCTCTAGATGGATGTTGTGAAAGATATCCCTGCAAGGATGAGAGCCTGAGCAAAGGCAGAGGAGAAGAATGTACAAAGTATGTTAAGGTACAATGAACAAAGCAGGTGCTCAGAGCACAGTGTTTATGTAATGGAAGAAGGGGGCACTACAATAGTGCCCCCATTATCCATGGTTTCATTATCCCCATTATCCAGGTCTGGAAGCAGAAGACTCTCCTGACATGGACAGGACTGGAAGAGATTATGTTAAGTTAGATAAGTCAAGCAGAAAGAGTCAATTATCATATGGTTTCACTTACTTATGGAACATAAGGAATAACACAGAGGACATTGGGAGATGGAGAAGAGAAGTGAGTTGGGGGAAACTGGAGAGGGAGATGAACCATTAGAGACTGTGGACTCTTAGAAACAAACTGAGGGGTTTGGAGCGGAGAGGGGTCTGGATTGGGTGATTCTGGTAGTGGGAATTAAGGAAAGCACGTATTGCATGGAGCACTGGGTGTGGTGCATAAACAATGAATTTTGGAACACTAAAAAAAAATTAAATTAAATTAATTTTTTAAGAAAAGATCCTGGAACACTAAAAAAAAAAAGTCAATAATAGCTTAATGTTACTTTCACAATACCTACATTCCCCTCACTTCGTCTCATCACAGAGGTATTTTATCATTTCACATCATCACAAGAAGAAAAAGAGTGAGTACAGTATAAGATTTTGAGGAGAAAGAGAAACCACATTCACACAACTTTTATTACAGTATATTGTTATAATTATTCTATTTTTAGTTATTGTTACTAATCTCTCTCTTACTGTGCCTGACTTATAAATTAAACTTTATCATAGGTATGTATGTACAGGAAAAAACACAGTGTATCTGGGGTTTGGTACTATCCGTATTTACAGGAATTCACAAAGGGTCTTGGAACATATCCCTCTGGCTAATGGGTGACTAATGTATAGAAGTTTCTGGTGTTAGTTTAAAGATTTATTTATTTTTATGTATTTATTTATTTGACAGATAGATGACAAGTAGGCAGAGAGGGAGGCAGAGAGAGAGGGAGAAGCAGGCTCCCTGCCGAACAGAGCCCGATGTGGGGCTCGATCCCAGAACCCTGGGATCATGGCCTGGGCAGAAGGCAGAGGCCCAACCCACTGAGCCACCCAGGTGCCCCTCTGGTGTTAGTTTAAAAGCATAAAATAGAAGAGAGAGGACTCATCATCTAATGTTGAGGGAATAGGACACCAGTGAGATATGTTAGCAGTTATTTGAGCAGATAATTAAACACTAAAGATAACTGATGAAAGAGGCAGGTTAAAAATGTTAATGTGAATGATATTTTATTAAATGAATAGCTTCATTATTTATCAGTTTGAATACCAGGCAAAATGCTAGATGATAGAAAGATGAAAGGTCATAGCCCTGTCCTCAAGCTGCCTTTAGGGAATGTATTAGGTTTACAGAGAAGAGAGCAAGTAAGATAGAAAGATGATAGAGATAGATACATAGAGAGAGGCAAACAGGGAGACAGAATTTTTAAAATTGGCTCATGACTGCAGATGTTTGACAAATACAAAACCTGTAGCATAGGCCAGCAGGATGGAGACCCATGGAAGAGTTGCTGTTTGAGTCAAAGGTTATTGGCTAGAAAAGCTGCTCCTTCTTCCAGGGAGATGAGTCTTTTTCTACTAAGGCCTTCAACTAATTGAATGAGGCCCACCCCATCCACATTATGCAGAAAAATCTGCTTTACTCAAAACCTGATTTAAATATTAATCTTATCTAACAATGCTTTCACACCAATTACTACAATAATGCTTGACCAAATATCTTACTGTATTTTATTCAAGTCAACACGTCAAATTAACAACAGGAATCAAAAGAGAAAAACAAAAAACATAAAAAATTACTTTGAGAGACATTTTGTATAAAATATAACTGAGGCTCAGAGGTAGTAGTGACTAAGCCTACGGATGGGTACAGAATGTTAGGGGGGGAAATACTAAATATCAGGGGTTTAAGTGAAGTCTTAAAAGTTAATTATTCCTTCCTCAAATTAGCTTGTAAGCCAGTCTGGAAAATACTTCAAACCTAGTTCACTACATTAGCACTATAATATCCCTATACAATACTCCTCCATCATGCACTCACTCATTAACCTCAAGGCAGACACCCCAACCAGGCTCATCCCTGTTAGCATTCCAAGCACAGAGAGAGAAATGACCCAAATCTCATCAGAGTCATTAAAACACATACACCTATTTGGGAAACTAAATGTAACACCCAAAGAAGAGCACATCTGAGAATAAGGCTGATAAATGGAAACAAATCAATAATCATTTATTTTGATACACTAAGGAGTTTTTACTTTATTAAATGTTTTAAAAATATTTACAGGACAGTAACTTGATCAAGAAGGCATTTGCAAAACCACTACGACAAAAGTTCAGTGAACAGAATGAAAGAGTACAAAATCCCCAACAGGAAAACCAATTAGTTGTCTGTTGCAACAGTGAGGATGAAGAAGAGATGACAAAGTATTATGAGAATATAGGAACATTTATCAAAGTAAAGGTGAAGATGATAGGATGATAGCCCAGTTGTAATGTCTGGCCTTGAGATTAATGGATGGGTCAGGATCAAGCCAGAGTCATGTAGGAGAACTGAGAAAAATACAGGATATCAATTATGATGATGTAATAAACCAGGCATGAAGCATGCTTAAAAATGGCTTATGGACTATTCTGGGGAATTTTTAGGCGGCTTATTTCAATCCCAATTATTGCGTTCATGCATTAAAAACAAAAGCATACATGATGCTCAATCAAAAGCAGCAAAAAGTGAAAAAAAGTAGCATATTTTTTGTGTAGCCAGTAATAATACTAAAAATAACATAAATAAGATAAAACAGAGTGATGGTGCCAACCACATCTGTCCCTAGACCTCTGCCCCTGGAGAAGATTTATTTCAACCTGTAGATTGTCTTCCTCTATAAGAATGTAACTGGTAGAAGAGATGATATTAATAAAGGAAAGTTACAAGTGTCAAGTTTAGAATCAGATTACCATTTGGATAAACCCAATAAATAGTATGGCAGTCCCAAGACTTGGATGAGAGTCAATCTTCTTTAGTTAATCCCATCTCCCACCTTTAGTCTCTATTTAGAGCTGGGTGATTTCTCATTGACTTATTTCTTCTTAAGATAAATTAAAATAACTGAGGGATACCACCATTATTTCCACTTCTTTATTTGATTTTCAGGAATCCATTTAATAATAGCTAAACTTTTATTATTTCCATATGCCAGATATTCTTGTATTACATAACTACATAGGTAGAATTATCTCTATATTACAGATGAGTAAATGGAGGCTCTTAGAAGTTAATTAACTTACCTCAAATCACAGAGGTAGGAAATGGTGTGGCTGTGATAGGAAACCCATATACTCTGATCTTAGAGTTTTATCTCTTACATGCAAAACTGTGCCAAACCTTTTGTCTGGCCAAAGCATGCATGCCAAATCAAAATATACCTGATCTATGGAACACTTTGACTAAACGAAGTAGTTCCTGCTACAAAAAATTCATGTAGACTGTGTTCCCATTATTAAAAATGGGGTCACAAAATAATTATCCTTTAGAAGAAAATTCTCAATATGCAAATTGGCACTTTTTTTAAGCTTTAACCCTAATCAAGATCAGATAATTAGAAAAAGAACTTTCAATGATAATTTCTGTAAGGTGAGAATAACAGCTGAAATTGAAAGAGAATTTGAGAATTTGTGAAATGTAAAAAAAAATTCAGTGATGAATAAGGTTGATTGACAAAGGGAAAGAATATATCAAATCAAAGGAAGTTTTAAACCTTGTGTAAGAGAAAACACATACTTGTTTCACAGTTTACAACCTAGCCAACGAGACAACGCACATGTAAAATCAGTGATAGAATGTCACTTTCACCACATTTTCAAATATGGCAGGACTGTGACCATCCTTATTGTAGCATTGGAGCACATAATTTTTCATTTCCCCAAGCAATTTCAGTGTGAACATTTGAGTTGGCACTGAGTGGAGTAAAATATATGATCCATTTCTACTCACTTCCCACACTACTTCGAGTTTGGCCAAGGCATCCATATATAATTTAACTAGTATTTTATCATAAATCATTCCCTCTGGTCCTTTTCCCTTTTCCACTTCTCTACATTTATTGGGCCTCAGAGAATAATGTGACACTGGCAGTCAGAGGTTTCCACTTATACTTGCATAACAAAATGTTCTATCTTTATGTTCATACCTTATTCATTCATGCATTTCTGACTTAACAACAAATCAGTCTTCAGCTGACAGAGCATGTTACAATCTACGAGAGAAGCCCAGGGCTAGTCAATGATTTCATGCTAGAACTGAAAAACACTTCCACACCTTTATCTTTCCACACCATTCTTACCAATCCCTAGTTTTCCACAGCTCATATTTGAGGGGAGGGAGCACTTCCTCACAAAGAATATTTCCATCTATATCTATATTTCCATCAAAATAATGAAAACCAGGATGGAAAGTTCATGTACCATACATAGAATATGGCAACTCTGAAGATTCATTTAACATACGGGGAAGACAATCCAAATAAATAATGAGTCTCAATAATAAATACCCAGAAGTGGAAATGCTTGATCATATAGCAGTTATATTTTTAATTTAATTTAATTTTAATTTTTTAAGGAACTACCATACTGTTTCTCATAATTCACATACCAATTTACATTCCCACCTTAAGTTAGACATATGTTATCATTTCTTAGGATTATGAGGAATGGTCATTGTGCTTCTAGGAAATTTGACTCTTTTATATAAGTTAGCTTGTCAGGTTGTGTTACAACTATTCATAATACTCTCTTATAATCCTCTTTTCTCTTTTTCTTAGATAATTTTGCTGAAGGTTTCTCACTTTTGATGTTTTCAAAGAACAACTTTTGGTTTTGTTGACTTTCTCGATTGTTTTTCTATTCTTTATATAATTTCTTTCTACTTTAATCTTTATTATTTCCTTCCTTCTGCTGGCTTTGAGGGTTTACTTCATTCTTTTTCTAGCTCTTTAAGATATTTCATTGCTTTAAGATATTTTATCTTTTTTAATGTAAGCATTTATAGTTATAAATTTTCATTTTAGCACTGCCCTCTTTGCATCACATATATTTTGGTATGTTAAGCTTTCATTTCCATTCATCTCTAAGTATTTTCTAATTTCTCTTTTTATCTCTTCTTCAATTCACTGATTAAGAATGTGTTCTTTAGGGGCGCCTGGGTGGCTCAGTGGGTTAAAGCCTCTGCCTTCGGCTCAGGTCATGATCCCAGGGTCCTGGGATCGAGCCCCACATCGGGCTCTCTGCTCAGCGGGGAGCCTGCTTCCTCCTCTCTCTCTGCCTGCCTCTCCGCCTACTTGTGATCTCTGTCAAATAAATAAATAAAATCTTAAAAAAAAAAAAAAAAAGAATGTGTTCTTTAATTTCCACAAATGTGCTAATTTTACAATTTCCCTTCTGTTAATGATTTCTAACTTTATCTTTCTGTGGTCAAAGAAGATAACTCTGTATGATATCTGTCCTATTATATATACTGAGACCTAATTTGTGACATGACAGTCTATCCTGGAGAATGTCCCCTGTGCACCTAAGAAGAATGTATGTACTACTGTTGTTGGGTTCAGTTGTCTATAAATATTGGTCAGATCTACTTGGTTTATTGTGCTGTTCAAGTCCACTATTTCCTTATTTATATGTCTGGTCATTCTATCCATTATTGTAAGTGGGATACTGCAATCATTATCATTATAGAAATATCTATCTCTCCCATCAATCCTTTAATTTTTGCTTTATATATTTTACTGGTCTGCTATTAGGTGTATAAATGTTTATAATTTAACCTTCTTACTGTATTGAATCTTTTTATCAATATATAGTGTACTTCTTTGAACTTTTCTTAATACAGTATATTTTGTCTAATTTGGGATAGCTACCCCTGCTCCCTTTTGGTTACCATTTGCAAGGAGTATTTTTTCCCATCCTTTTACTTTCAGCCAATTTTATCTTTGCACCTTAGTGAGTCTTTGTAGATACCATATATATCTGTCATCTTTTTATACTTACCAATACCTGTCTTTTGATTAGGTAATTCAATTTGTTTACATTTAAAGTAATTACTGATATGGAGTGATTTGCTTCTGTCATTTGCTATTTGTTTTCTATATGTCTTATAGCTTGTTGTACCTCATTTCCTGCATTACTGCCTCTTTGTGTAGTTGATATTTTTTATAGTGAAACATTTTAATTCTTTTTGCATTTCATATTGTATATGTTCTATTACTATTCTCTTTGTGGTTACTATAGGGATTACATTAATATTCCAAAGTTACAAAACCCTAATTTGGGGGTGCCTGGGTGGCTCAGTGGATTAAGCCACTCAGGTTTAACCTTTGGCTCAGGTTACGATCCCAGGGTCCTGGGATCGAGCCCCGCATCTGCCTCAGCATCCCTGCTGAGCAGAGAGCCTGCTTCCCCCTCTCTCTCTGCCTGACTCTCTGCCTACTTGTGATCTCCCTCTCTCTGTCAAACAAATAAATAAAATCTTAAAAAAAAAAAAAACCTAATTTTGTCAGCTTCACTTCCATAACACACATACCTCTGATCATTTAAAACTGTCCCCAACACCTTTTGGTTGTTAATGTCACAAAATTATATCTTTATACATTGTGTGTCCAAGCACAAAGTAATGATTGTTTTTTAATGCATTTCCCAAAAAGTCATTTTACAATGCTTGCAATTTCTGAAACAGTGTCTGCAAGTGAATGTACCTTGCCTTCTTAGTTGATATTAAACTGCTAATGGCACTTATTAGTCAAGGTTAAGTGTATGGTTCAACAATTATGAACAGTCAATTATCAGCCTTTACCAACAGTCTAGTCAGAGTTTGGTTAGGGTTTCATTTTATACTTGGTATTTACTTACCATCATTTCATAATTGATATTTGCTGAGCACTCTAACTTTTTAGCTTGGACCCTATATATATTTGCTACCTACAAAGTTAAGAATCAATGTTTCCTAAACTGTTGCATTTTTTAGTGAATGAGAAGACAAAGACTTTTTTTTTTTTTTTTCTTTAACAATCTTCATTTTCTAATTCCACAGCTCTCCTTCCACATGTCTGGCCATTCTCTCCTCCTTTCTCCATTTCAATTTTTCTTATGTTAAAATGTCTGTGCTATGTTTTTTAATTAACCAAAGTAATTCTGTGATAGCAAAGTTACCATTTATTTGTTTTACTATCAAGAATTGTGAATACTATGTGAGCTATACAGAGTAGCAAGTGAAACAATGTGTAAAAATGCTATGTAAACTCTAAAATACATATTCTATAGTTACTAAGGACCACAATGTGACATCATGTTAGGATAAGAATATAAATAAACACTTAGATAAATTCTATTTAATAATAAAGGCTAATTTTCTTTTGACCTTTATTTACATGTTAAGCAATACAGGACTTTACCTATAATATTAAAACACTTTACAGA